TCTCGGAGAGATTTCAGGTGTTTTGAGAGATTTCAGGGGTTTGGAGAGCTTTAAGGGGGTTAGAAGATTTCAGAGGGTTATGAGATATTCAAGGGTTCGGATTGATTTCATTGGGATTTGGAGAGAGTTTAGGGTGGTTCGGTGAAATTTTTTGTGGTTCGGAAGGTTTTATACAATTAACACCGATTTTGGTGCAAAAATTGAATTTTGCAAAGAGAAATAATAAAAGGATTGAAAATGAATAGATAGATAGATAGATAATGATGAATAAATAGATTAATTGTGAAATATGTTAGGTATTTGCTAACAATACAGAGGAGTCTCAGGGGACCAATCGGTACCTTATCCATCAATATATATCTATCTATCTAACTATCTAACTATTTGTCTATCTATCTAACTATCTAACTATTTATCTATCTATCTATCTTTCTAACTATTTATATATCTATCTATCTTTCTAACTAACTATCTATTTATCCATATATCCATCTATCCACTTATCTATCTATCTATTATCTAACTATCTATTTACCCAACTATCCATATATCTATTCATATATTTTATATAATTCGGGTTTATTTAACTGACTACTTTTGTAAATAATTTAATAAAGCATCTTTTGAGAATATCTCTCTATCATCTCCCCCCCTCCCCCCTCCTTCCTACCTCCCCTGCTTCTATCAGAACAGGATCAAAATTTGATATTAAAAAACGTTGTCATGGCAGTTAGAAAGGGGGGAAAGAGGAATAAAAATAAAATAAAATAAAAAAATAAAATAGATGTTCCCAACTGCTTTAAAAGAAAGTAAAAGATTCCCAACTGCTTTAAAATAAAGTAAATGTTCCCAACTGCTGTAAAATAAAGTAGATGTTCCCAACTGCTGTAAAATAAAGTAGATGTTCCCAACTGCTGTAAAATAAAGTAAATTTTCCCAACTGCTTTAAAATAAAGTAGATGTACCCGACTGCTCCAAAATAAAGTAGATGTTCCCAACTGCTGTAAAATAAAGTAGATGTTCCCGACTGCTCCAAAATAAAGTAGATGTTTCCAATTGTTCTAAAATAAAGTAGATGTTTCCAACTGCTCTAAAATAAAGTAGATGTTCCCACATAGAGAATAGAATATGTAGAGAGGAATTTAGTGTAAAAAAGTGTAAAACGGCCATTTTGTTGTACTGTTTCCATACTGCAGGTGTATTTNAACCCCGTTCTAGATTTGAAAGATATTAAATGAATTTTAAATTCCATTTTGAAATTCCAGATTTGCATTTCTTCAATGCCATCCATACATATCTTTTTATCTCTCTCAGCTTAGATAAATTCTATTCGAATCCGTAAAAAATCCAAATTTGCATATTTTCAAGATTCATCACTGGGAGCCATGACAGCGCTCAGATGTTAAATCAGAGAGAGACATTTTTTAGAATTTTAAAGAAAAAATATTAATAAAATTGATATCAAATTAAAAATTATTAAAAATCGGTTCATCCGTTTCAATGTTTACATACTTATTCGATAAAAAGAAACTTTAATTGAATTCAATAATAAAAACCTCTTCGTTTTTCGCTCACAAATATATTTATATGTTAGCTATAGCTGGCCATCAAACGGCTGGACCACATTGGCTGACATTTTTTGAGGGAACCCACGAGTATCCCGGGGTTAACATAGGCTAAAAAAATCTACTCTCTTTCCTAAGTTCGAAATATTTTTTTCTCTTTCAAAATTCGATTTTTTTATCCCACGGGCAACGCTAGGCACTAGAAGGGGATAATTTATTTAGCGTACTGTACCGTTTTACCTTACATAAACTGTATTCGTACTGTACAGCTGCTCTAGCGTACTGTACCGTTTTACCTTACATAAACTGTATTCGTACTGTACAGCTGCTCTAGCGTACTGTACCGTTTTACCTTACATAAACTGTATTCGTACTGTACAGCTGCTCTAGCGGATTAGAGCCGGTCTGGAATGAACCGGAGTCACGAATTGCAGATATATAATTCAATCCAACATTTTTATAATCTTGATTTAAACATATTTTTTCTTTCTTCTTCTATTCCCCTCATTTCCTCACTTTTTTCCCTTTTCTTTTTCCAGTCCTTTCTTTTCCATTCTTAAAATACTTACAAAGGAAAAAATGGCGAAACATATTTTGGGCTAGATTTCTAATCTAATTGTTTAACTTTAAGCACCTAATATAATCCGATCTTAAACCTGTTTTAGTTTCGGGCCAATTAGGAATTGACGTGGAATAGAAATCAATTTAGTTTTAAAACATAATTCTATACTAGTGGTGGCGTTAAATTCAAAATAAGTTTAATTCTAATTATACAAGATTCTCAATAATGTGCAAAATGTGAATGAAAACATTTTTTTCCCAAACAATATTGCTAATATAGCTGGTTTGAAATAGGGTGGTCAAAAAGTAGAAAAGGGTATAAAGTAACAAGCCAAGCAATCGGTAATAGGAGACAGACTTAATTAATCAATGTCGAGAACATACATACACCCTTACAGACAAACACACACAAGCGTATAGACATACATACAGACAATCAGACATACAGACATACACCCACCCTTATAGACAAACACACACAGGCGTATAGACATACATACACCCTTACAGACAAACACACACAGGCGTATAGACATACATACACCAAATCAGACATACAGACACCCTTATAGACAAACACACACAGGCGTATAGACATACATACACCCTTACAGACAAAGCACACACAGGCGTATAGACATACATACAACCTTACAGACAAACACACACAGGCGTATAAACATACATACAGACAATCAGACATACAGACATACACCCACCCATACAGAAATACATACATATAGTCACCCAAACATAAACTTACACTGGAAACAACCATACAAGTTTTACAAGTAAAAAATACAAAAATTCAGACTTTTATAATTATAAATTTATATCACTCGAAGCTTATTATTATGATCTGTGATGAAATCTGCTATCTTAATATAACTTTAATAATTAAAACATGGTAAAGAAGAAAATAAAACAATCGATCTCCGCTTGATTGGTGGTATTACTTTCGAAAATGAAGACCAGCTGATCGTAAACTTTATAATTATATATTTTTGTGCTTTAATCTTTTTAAGGTGTAATGAGCAATGCATGGCAATTTATTATTAATATATTAATTAGTCCAAACGTTTGAAAGAATTTTTATGAAAAGCAATTTTAAAAAGCCTAATTTTTGACGTGTACGTTTGAACTAAAAATAAAGTTGTATTTTTTAATTGAACAAATTAGACATCGGTTAGATCTATTTTATAATTTCATTTCCCTTAGTACGTATTTGAAATAAATTGTTGAATCAACATTTTCGTTTATTTTTAAACAATTTTTCTGAGGCTTTGACAGAAAAGGCCGTGAAAATAATTTTGGAACATTTCCAAAATTTAAATTGGATTTGATTGGAGAACGAATTTTGGACAAAAATCCATGTTGAATTTCAACTTTTAGCGGGTTATCGAGAATAGAAGGCTGCGAGGGAGTGGGNATATCTAAGAAACGATGTGCGCATGTTGAGGCGAAATTGACGCGGCAAAAACTGAGTAATTTTTACATTTTCCTTCTTGGGCTAAACCGTTGTTTTTGCACTACCATATTGGCGGGTTGGGGTAGGGTAACCTTTTCACTCTGTGCACTTATTGTCAAGTATTAGTTCTAATAACGCTAAATTAATGATTGCACTATGTAACCATTAACTTTTTACATTCCATCTCGACAACTTTCTTGGATCCAGCGCCAATACTAAAGCATAGATCACGACTCTATCTTTGAGGTGTAAAAATGTCCGAATATAACCTGGTGAATGTACACTGTAAACTCTGGTTTATTTGAAGTACAATACCGTCTTCTAATTCAGCCAGACCAAGCTGTGTACAGTAAAAAGACAGACTACATCAGGCAAAACGGGACGTACACTGTACGCTGTTTAAATGTTAATTGTACAATGTACAAAATTTAAATGTACACTGACACTGTACACTGTAGAGGACGCTGAAAAATATTAAGATAATGGCAGCAGCGCCGCCTGGCAGATTATTTCAACTTTCCCGGATTTTCCTGTAAACCACATTCATGGATTTAGTCATGAAGATGATTTGCCTAAATACAGTGTATTTGTGGCCGGTGTGTGGTTGTATGGTAGCTAGCCCGTAGCACACCGGAATAAAATGACGAGAAAAATATTTGTTAATTTCCCGGTGATTAATTGAGTTTTACTCCCTTCGAAATATTTTTTTCTCTTTCAAAATTCGATTTTTTTATCCCACGGGCAACGCTAGGCACTAGAAGGGGATAATTTATTTAGCGTACTGTACCGTTTTACCTTACATAAACTGTATTCGTACTGTACAGCTGCTCTAGCGTACTGTACCGTTTTACCTTACATAAACTGTATTCGTACTGTACAGCNATTTTATTATTTACGACTCAGCCACCTCGTAACTATTTGTGGTTTCTCTGTAAAAGTGACTTGTGCATTTCTGCCTCAGAAAAATGAAGAAATTATCAGAATTAAACATTTTTTTAAGCCAGAAAACCAAAATTATCTTATCAAAGTTTTGAGATTTAAATTACAATATTTGTTTA